TCCCAGTATGTTTCAGCCTCTTCAAACTGGTTCCCAGTATGTTTCAGCCAGAGTGTTCATAAACTGTCTTTTTTTTAATATCTGACGATTTTCTGAATTATGAAACTCGTTGTTATTAAATCTGCTTCTGTCCTTATTTTGTTTTACTTAAAACTCAAATTTTACTGCATTTACTGAATTGATACCAGTTTCTTATAAATCAGCTGCAGTTTATTTATTATTGAGAAAACGTCTGGGTTTCGGTTTAAGGTATTTTTAGTGGTATTTTACTGAGAAGTTTCTCTTTAGCTTCATCCTGTTCCTGTGGGGAGAGCCGGTGAAGGAAAACACGCTGATGTCACTTCCAGATCTGAGCAGAAACGTTTGTCTTCCACCAAACTGCTCTGAAAAGTCCTTACATTTGTTGCACGTTTTGTTGTTATGAAGGACGATAAAGTGAAGAAGTAAATATATCTACAGCTGCAGACAGTCGTACTTCAGACTGTTTAAAACAGCCTCAGACTTCTACCCCACACAGACTGAAGGCAGCGAATCAGACAGAGTGTTTATCAGCGTTAGTCAGACTGAAGGATGGAGCTTTGTTCCGGTTCATCAGGCTGATTAGAATCAGCGCAGGTTGGAGGACGTCCTGTTTCCACTCCGTCGCTGAAAGGTGTGAGACATGAGGAGCGACACACTGAAAACCAGCTCACAGTGAAGACGTGGTGATGAAACGCTGGATACAGAATAAATGAAGTCAGTCACACGTTTATATCTATGAGCAGAGTTTCCCTTCAGATCACATTTAAACACGTTTCACTGCTTTTAGTGACAACACGACAGGACGTCATCATTTTCTACTACAACAGAAAAGCATAAATGGGTTTTAATAGACTCATTACATCTCCATAACTTGGTCGACTGCTAAATGAACTCTTAACTGCTCACATGGGCTCTTCTTTACACGATGTTGTTTGACCTAAACCTGGTCTGATGTGGAAAAAGCGCAGCAACCAGCGTCGTTTTTGAATTTTAACAAACACCAAGACGGTTTCACAAATCGAAGACTCCAGTTTAAAGACTCTTTAGTGGGCGATCTAGAGTTAACCGGTGTGCAGAGGTTTTGGAGCCAGACCTGAGGCCTGCACTAAGAAGCCAGATCAACATATCTAGGATATCTTTCAGAGATCCGGCTTGACTAACCCTAACAACCGCACTGATAACTGGTCAAATGACGGTGGTTATCAAGTCTGTATGTCAACCCGGCTTGTCTGATCTGAGTGTGAGCGTGTGCACATAAAATTATTATTATTATTATTATTATTATTATTATTATTGTTGTTGTTGTTGTTGTTGTTGTTATCATTATTTTGAAATCTGTTTGGTGGACCACAAGTGGTGACATCTCTATCTATCTATGTATCTATGTATCTATCTATCTATCTATCTATCTATCTATCTATCTATCTATCTATCTATCTATCTATCTATCTATCTATCTATATATTGTGGTTTTTGGTCTAATGTGGTCCAGATGTTTAGAATATGTTGTAAAATCTCCCTTATTTTTCATTTTCACAGTCACATAAAGGGCTCAGTTTACCTAAAATGTCAAATACAATTTTAAAGAACCCCTTTTAACAAACAGAGAAGATTAATTTGTCTCTGCGAGATTATCCAGTCCAGATTTTATTAGCTGGTATACTGTGGTTTCAGATCTAGACCCGGTCTAATGCGGCCCAGATGTTTAAAATAATCTTTTAAAAAATAAATTAAAAAGTGGTCAAATCTCTGTTATTTTTGTCCTCACAATCAGAATAAAGGTCTCAGAAATCAGAAGCCTTTTTTAAAAAAATTTAAAAAATTTTAAAAAAGCCTCTGTGGGACAATCTAGCCCAGATTTGATCTGTCTATATATAGACAGAGGGTTTTGGTCTAATGTGGTCCAGATGTTTAAAACAAGTTCTAAAATCTCCCTTATTTTTTTCATTTTCAGAGTAAAATAAAGGGCTCGCAGATAAAAATGTGTGTTTCAGACAGAACTCAGCAATAAAAGTTTACCTAAAATATCAAACACGGGTTAAAAATCATCAAAACATGAATTAAAACGCAGATTCCGTGTTTTTAAGGCGACTCTTCCTTAACTTTTCCCTTAACCGCCTGACCTGAAGCCGCGTCACGGTCATGTGACGGACTCTGCGGCCGCTGATTGGCTCCCTCGCTCCCTGCGGGGTCACATGTCTGGTGTGTTTGGTTTCACTTCCGCACTCCGCCGCCTGCAGACTGCTAGCTGCTGCGGCGTTAAAACACGTTATGAGTGAAAACGCGCCGATTATCGGGGCACAGACGCTGATTTAAACCTTCCGAGCGCTCGAAGAGAAACTTTATTCAATCCGCGCATCGAAACGTCGCGTTTTTATCAGCGAACAAAGCAACCAGGAAGCGACGTTAGCGTGAGGAAGCTGAGCAAGTTCAACCGGCGGCTGCGTTTTAACCTGCTCGACTGAAGCACTAATCCGCAGCCAGGAAGTCATGAAGGTGAGGACGCACACGGGGGGAAGTTCGGGTCCCAGATGGCGGTGGTTCTGCAGGAAAACCAGCCTGACAGTTTACTTCCAGACATCTGACATGTTCCTCCAAACACACCGAGAGCTCTTAGTTTTCAACACCCAGTTAATGCAGCTGCACGATTCTGAGCTCATATGTGACAGATGTAAAGAAATATCACCTTTTGTTTTAAGCAGATGACTTGAATAAGTGTGGAAATAATGACTAAATGACTGGGAGGGGTTTGCAAAGAAATAGAACTTGCAAAAGTGTGTTTCTGGGAATGTTTCTTTGAATATTTAAGAACTATTTGTACGATCAGGCATCACATTCAGGATGATTACAGGCAAAATATTAACATTTGCGTGACGTTTATGCTGCATGTGTTTGGTTTGTTTAATATCCTCGTTCCCTTCTTTTATTTACAGACAGGTTTATTATAAATAAAATAAAGAAATGAGCTCATTTCAGTCACATTGCTGGAGCTGCAGTCTCTTTTTGGAAAGTAGGAAACTGCAGTGTATGAGTTGAACTGGTCGTTTGAGGATATTTCAGACAGTACGAGTAGCTGGACTGATTGTAATGTGAGCAGATAAACTAACACAGAGGCTGAAGGACAAATAATCCGACGAGAACAACGATCAAACTCACAGCAGCTGCAGACACAGAAGCTGTTTTTTTTTCTTTTTTAAATTAAATGTCATCCTTTCTAAAACATTTTATCAAACTGATTTATTTCTGCAGCCAAAGCTGTCTTTTCAGAGTTTCATTGCTGCACACGTGGAACAAACTCCAAGAAGCGTTACAATAGAGGAAATGACCTTCTGTCGGACTTCTCTTGCAGATCAGTTGTTGAGAACTAGAAAAGCTAATATGGATTATTATACATCAGACTACGAGCAGCTGCAGAAGCATGTGCAGCATTTCAAGATGAACTTTATTGTCCGAGGCGTGGGAAGTTTGTCGTGGGCTGTTCACCCTCGCTGCAGCCAACACAAGCAGAGACAACACAGTTAATAGATAGAATAAATAAATACATCAAGTCAAAGCAGAATAAAGTGAATGTCATCATCTGATTACAGGTCAGTCGACAGCGTGGGACGATCTCATTTCTGCCATGTTTCACTTTCATGTGAGACATTACAGCAGAACTTCCAGAACTTCTTCCTGCTCTTCTATTCTAGTCTTACTTTAGTTTACTTATTTTATTTCAGTGTTGAGTCGTACTTCTATCTTATTGCTTTTCCACTTGAGTGGCTGCATTTATTCTTTCGTATCATTTAGTTTTTTTTCTGAACAACATCTGGCTCAAGAATTTCCTTCAGGATGAATAAAGTTTGAACTTATCGTAAAGTCGCTGCTGAACACTAGACGCAGTGCAACCTGACGTTCTCGTGTCTGGTCAGCTGTGAAAGTCAAAGTTTAACCACCAAACGTTTAACTTTTGAGCAAATCGTGATGTTGTACAAAAAAAATCCTGATTATCTTTTGAAAAGGAAACAGTTCATTGATTGTTGTCAATCCTCTGATTGCATCTAATGATTATTCCCACTGATTAATCTGTCAGCTGCTCTCTAAAATATCAGATAACGGTTTAAAATAAATAAGTAAATGAATGTGGACCGAAGTCCAAACTGAGTCTTGTTTTGTCCAAAGATCTTCGGTTTAGTGTCACAGAGGAGGAAAGAAACCAGAAAATATTCACACTGAAGAAGCTGCGATCAGAGAAATTAGACTGTTTCTACTGTTTTTAAAAATTAATCAAATCAGTCACTGATCTCGCAAAACAGTCAAAGATAAAATCAGTTAATCAGCGGAAGCTCCGGTTGACAAATCAGTTTATTTACTGACACAAAACAGTGTTGAGTTACCTGCAAATAATGATTATTACAGATTTATCTACTGATACCTGACTGATGAATTAATTTTACAATAAAATGTCAGCAAATGGCCAAAAATCTCACCTTTTATATTTAGATTTTTACATTATTTAGTTCATGCTGAAGCCCAAAGTTTAATTTAACGTCATTTATAAAGATTAAAACCTGCAAACCTCCATGTTTCAGCTGGAAAAAGCAAATGTTTGCCGTTTTTAAATTCTCCATCTGGTACCAAAATAGTTTGCTGATGAGTTCCAGCTGTGCATAAACACATCTGTGCATTTTCCATATTGTCCTGTTGATTTCAAATTAATAGCCAGTCGTTAAACTTGCTTGTTTGGTGTTTTATTTTGAAGGCGGTGTTAATAATCTTGTGTTCCAGGCTTGCAGTCGACCCGGTCGAGGCTCTGTCCTGCTCTGGACTCTCTGGGTCCAGCTGGTTCTGAGTGGAAGTGGAGTTTCCGCCGGCGACGCCACCAAGAACTGCAAACTCATCACCGATTCCAAGTCCGAGCGGAAAGCGCTGGAACGACTGGAGCCGCTGGTGAAGATTAAGTAAGAGACGAACCCGAGGCGAACTTCTCTGTTGTTCTGCGTCTCAGTTTTAAATTTTTTTTCTCTCATTTTGTGTCTCACTTTGGTAGTTTCACGTCTCTTTGGGACAGTTTTTTCTTGTCTTTGTCTTTTTTTGTCTCCCTTTTGTCATTTTCGGTCTCAGTTTTCTAGTTTTGTGTCTCATTTTGCCCTTTTTTGTCTCATTTTGATCATTTTAAGTGTCATTTTGTGTCTCATTTTGGTTGTTTTGTCTCTTGTTTGTGTCGTCTCATGTCTCTTTGTGACAGTTTTGTCTCGTCTCTGTCTTTTTCTTTTCTGCCTTTTGTTGATTTAGGTCTCGGTTTTCTCGTTTTGTGACTGGCTTTGGTTTTTTTTTTGTTATTTCGTCTTGTCTCGTTTGTCAGTTGTGCTCAGGAGCTCTGAATTTTTAGTTTTTTACAGAATTGGTTCGGTTCAGATTTGGTTCATTTTACTAAAAGAACCACACGGCTAGTCGAGTCATCTGGTGGTTCTTTCTGATTTTACCGTTTCTGGCTGATAATTGGTGTTATTTCAGTGATTTGTCTTTAAACTTCAGAGGGTTCATCAGTTCGGTTCTCCTTCTTTAACCCGATCAGCCATTCAGCCTTTTTGAAACCTTCTGTCTCGCATGTTATTGACCGTTCGCTGGACTTTGTTCTGGTGTTTGCAGCTTCACAGTGGAGTCCAAGATCGCCAATGAGAGCTACACGTATGTGTTCCAGCTGTGTGGAGACGCAGGAGGCGTCCCGGGAGCTGGAGTCATCCAGGAGGACAAGAAGACACAGAAGAAGACCATCATCGGCCGGTACAACACAACGCAGGCCATCGGAGGAAGTAAGACTCTGCAGAACATAAGAACTCGTATTTATTGACCCCCACGTCGCTCTGAGTGTCGATTTTAACTGTTTTTGACGTAGAATAGCAGCATGTTCACGAGCTTAATAAATCTGAAGGTTAAGAACCAAACCCCTTGTCTAGATCAGGAACCTTTTGGTTGACCGTCGCTTTTATTTTAATCATAAACACTTGATATTTAAAATGGAATCTGTGACATTTTAGAGAAATACGTCAAACACTTTCTGGGAAAACATTTTTAAAACGTCGACCCACTTTCAGCAGGTTTTTTTCTCACTTTGTGTTTGAACCAAAACATCGGAGGAACTATTAAAGATAAAAACCTGAGATGTTCTCTGTTGCTTCTCATCATGTCACTGATTCAGAACCTGTCACATCGGACAGTAGATCAATAAACTCTGATTCTGGGTGAGTTGAAAAATTGAAAATAATCAAAGAAAAGTTTCCTCTTTGAGCTCATTAACAAAAAAACCTGATAAAGCCGAAGTGAACCAGTGATATTATCTGAACCAGATGCAGCTGCTGGTCACAATAAAACAAAACTAAACATTAGAACACTTTAATATGAAACGCATATATACATATATACAAACATCAGAAGTTTAGTATAAGTTTGGCAACTGATGGAGCAGATTTGTTTCAGGTTTCTGTGAAACTGAAAATAGTTGAATATTTGCAGTGTTTGGAGACAAAATGACGACAAAGAAACACGAAAAATGAGACAAAGTGACAGAAAACTAAAAAAAAGAGACACAAAATAACCGAAATATTACAAAGTCGACACAAAACTACACAAAACAAAGAAAAATGAGACACAAAACTACACAAAACAAGACTTAAAATGAGACAAAAAAGGCCAAAATTAGACACGAAACAAGAAAAATTAGACAAAATGATAGGAAACAAAAAGGAGACATAAAATAACAGAAATATTAGACACAAAAAAGTACAAAGACGAGACAAAACTGTCACAAAGAGACATGAGACGACACAAAACTACACCAAACAAGACTCAAAATGCCGAAAATTAGACAAAAAAGGCCAAAATGAGACACAAAACTAGAAAACTGAGACCTAAAATGACAAAAGGCAGACAAAAAAAAGACAAAGCCAAGAAAAAACTGTCACAAAGAGACATCAAACAACAAAATATGAGCTAAATGAGACACAAAACTACACAAAACAAGACTTCAAACGATGAAAATGAGACCAAAAATAGGTCAAAATGAGACACAAAACAAGAAAACTGAGACCTAGGGCAGACAAAAAAGACAAAGACGAGACAAAGCTTTCACAAAGAGACATGAGCGGACACAACCAAGACACTAAACGACCAAAATGAGACTCAAAACTACACAAAACAAGACTCAAAATGCTGAAAATGAGACAAAAAAAGATCAAAATGAGACACAAAACACGAAAAATGAGACAAAATGATAGAAAACTAACAGAAGTATCACAAAGACGAGACAAAACTGTCACAAAGAGACATGAGACGACACAAACGAGGCTCAAAATGAAAAACAAACCTTCTGAAAGTGGAAATTTACCAAAACGTTTTTAAGTCGGACAGGATTTGATATAAGAAGTTAAAAACTCACAAACATCCACATTAGACGATTGGAGGGAAGTCCGAGGTGCTGGAGCAGAGCTAGTGGTGATGCTTTCGGTGACTGTGGCCTGGTTTCCTGCAGGCGACTGGGTGATGCTGATCTACGGACACGGCGACCACTACTCGGTCCACTGCTCCAAGGAGACGAGGCAGGCCATCGTCATGATCTCATGCGACAGGAAGATCGACATGGTAAAAGAAACGCAGTCGTCTCACAGAAAACATACGTAACATTCGTCTCTCTGAGCTGCCGGAACAGATCAGAATGTTTATGGAGAGTTTAGTGATTTCTAAACTCCTAATGCGCCGACTGAGGTCGTGACTGAAAACAGGTTTCTGAGTCAGTCGTCGGGAGTGGAGCAGCGACTCCATCACGTCCTGAACGGCAGCAGAAATGCAGAGAATCCAGACTGTCGGGGTTAAAGTGGATGCAGCTCGGAGGAGAGACGGGTTTAGACCGAACAGATTTGTACAAACTGTCCTCTGACGGAGCCCAGATGTGTTCTGTTTGTCCACTGAGGCTGTTTTACACGGATGTTTTCTATTAATCAGTTAGCAGCTGCTTTGATAATCAGTTATTCTGTCATTTTTTAAAAATCAAAACACTTTCATATGTCTGGTTTCTTTCCTCCTCTGTGAACATATTTGGACAAAACAAGAGACTTGAGGAAACTCTGATCCACATTGTTCTGCATCTACGACATTTTGGAGCCCAAACAGCTGATCGATTCATCCAGAACTTAATCATTAGCTGCAGCTGTTCTGAATGAATCCGGACTTTTAGCTCCGGTTTGGTCGCCTCCAGCAGATTTTCATTCAGTTGTAGTTGGACGGATGGAAACATGAGTAAAATAAGTCGAAGGAGAAGAAGAAATACGACAGTTTTAATCATTTAATGAGGATTAATGTTGACAACAGAGCTGCACAGATTAAATCAACTGTTCTGATTATCGGTTAATCAGTTTGAGTGATTTTTAATTTTAAAAAAAGTCTAAATTCTGTGATTGCAGCTTCTTAAACTGAAAATCTTTGGACAAAACAAGACATTTGAGGAAACTCCGGCCCACATTTTTCACCATTTTCAAACAGCTGATGGATAAAAGAAGAAAGAAATCAGTAATTAAAATAGTCGTCAGCTGCATGTTGTCGTATCAGCGTCATGTTTATGAGTCATGAAAGTATGAAGCAGATAAAAGAACGTTTGTGGTTAAATCTGTTGATAACGGAGCAGCAAAGAGTGATTAGATTTTGACTATTAAATTAATCTCCAACTTAATTATTTTTCAGTCAAAACAGTAAATTCTGTGATTGCAGCTTCTTAAATATGAATATTTCTGGTTTCTTTCCTCCTCTGTGACACTAAACTGAAGGTCTTTGGACAAAACAAGACATTTGATCCACATTTTCTGACATTTTCGAGCCCAAACAGCCGATCGGTGTCGGTAGATTTACATATTTCAAACATCGTCAGGAATCGTCGCTGACACTCGACTCTGCTGCTGCATCCTGTAAAAACAGCCCAGAGTCGTGGATGCAGAAGCCATAAACGGGCCTCGATGAGCAGAAAAACGGTGTTTGGGTCAGAAAGGAATCTGCCGGGGAACAGATCACGTTGCTGTGTGATGAGTTTGAGTCCGAACCGGATAAACAGCAGTCGGCTTCCTGGTTCTGCTGCGTCGCCTACACAGCGACTCGTGTTTCCGTGTGTTGACCTCCGTGTCTGTCTGTGTCTCAGGGGCCGCTGGAGGTGGTTCTGGAAGACCGGGACCGGCTGCACGAGTGCTTCTACCTGTTCGAGCTGGACGCCAGCGCCGTGTGTCCGGCTATCGAGTCCAAACTCAGCACCGGTTCCATCATACTCATCATGTACGTAGAGACGCTTCAAAGTCACGCTGTCGAGAAAACAGAAGATAAAACTCTGACCCGCCTTCAGCAGGTTGTGAAACGAGGAACTATTTAAGATAAACACCGTAAATGTTCTCTGTTATTTCTCAACATGTCATTGATTTAGAATCTGTTATATCGGACAAGTAGATCAAATAATCAACAGAACCTGAGAAAGCAGAAGTCAGTCAGTGATGTTTTCTGAACCTCGTGTAGCTGCAGGTCACAGTAACACAAAACTAAACACTATAACACTTTAATATGAAATATTTGGTCACAAACATGGAAAAAAGTACATTTATTTGAGCTTTCACAGCTGATTAAGCAGATTTGAAACCACAAAAGCTAAAATATGGGTAGAAAGTGTTTCTTTGTGGGAGATAAAGACAAAACTAAAACAGGCCCAGACCTGTAATTATTCATAGTTCATGATGACGAAGTTTGAAGCAGATCAGAGACGCTCGAGATAAAATAACTACAGTCGTGACTCGATAATTCGACCCTTAACAATCCTAAACCTGCTATCTGACAGGTTTTCAGGAAAAACCAACAGAACCCATAAAAACAGCCTTAACATAGCGACAGCCTTGGATTGTGACTCCGACATGACATTTAATGTCACCAATCAGGATGACGGCGTATTATCTGACTGAACAATCCCACAGATTGGCTACGTTCACACTGCAGGACTTGATGCTCAATGAGGATTTCTTTGTGACTTCCTTCACGTTTCCAGTTCAATGCGACTTGTATGTGATCTGCTGAGTGAACTTCATACGACCCAAAAGTGTCCCGCATGCGCAGAAGAGGACACGACGACGTCACACGCAGCGAGCGTGCTCAGTGTTTATGGAAGTAAACATGGATGGTAACGGTGGAGCGTATCTGCCACTCCCCCGCCGCCACCGATGGAGGAAACAGAAGTGTGAGCGCTAACTAAACTAGCATCAGCAGCCAAGTACTGCCTGTGTGTTCTGGACACTTCCACCCCGTCAGAGTGCTGCCCCGGGGTGGAAGGGTCCCCCGACCGCACCGAATGTTCTGATATTCATCATTAACTGGGCCTGAACATCCAGAGAGCAGAAAGTTCTACTGGGACCAGCCCTACTAGTTATTATAACAACTATGAACAATAATGAACAACTAATGATCCTTCCAGCATCAAGCCCTCCTCGTATCTGGACCTCCGTCTGGACAATCCCACAGCCTTGATATCCGACATAGAAGAAGGTTTTACATTTAGTGTCGGATTATCGAGTCACAACTGGACTGAGTTCTGACTGATCCTGTCTCTGGTGTTTTCTCAGTTCTTCATTTAGAACCTAATCACTGTTTTTGTTGCCCTTTTGCTCCTCCTGATTGATTGATTGATTGATTGATCGATCTCCTGCAGTGCCGTCTGCGTCCTGGCCGTCTACCTGATCGGAGGCTTCCTGTACCAGCGGCTCATCGTCGGCGCTAAAGGCATGGAGCAGTTCCCCAACTATGCCTTCTGGGTGGAGGTCGGCAACATGACGGCGGTGAGCGTCTCGTGTTCGCTTCATAACGTCCTTTTTCCCCAAAACCTCCGACTAACCCCTTTTATTTTTGTCTCCCACCGACAGGACGGCTGCGACTTCGTCTGCCGCTCAAAAAGCCGAGACGATGCCCCGGCGTACCGAGGCGTGACGGCGGAACCACTGGAGGAGGAGCCCGAGGAGAGGGACGACCACCTGCTGCCGATGTGACCGGAAAGCTCCCGCGTGATGCAGTTTCCCCTCAGAAGGAGCCGCCGGCCGACACAAGTCCTCCCTCTGTTGACTCTGGTCGTGTTTCCACTTGTGCCTCGGCAGCTGCAGTCTGTTACTCAGACCTGCCTCCTCGTCCTCCCCTCCATCCGCCCCGACGGTGATTCACCCACAGAGACTCTTCCATGGAAGTCTGGCAGCAGAGGAGGACGGTCGGGGAGGCCGGATCTCGATGTAAACTCTGACATGTTTGTTGTTGTTTTTTTTCCCGCTCGGCTCGTGATTGTCGGTCCTGAAGTCCACAACACTCACACAAAGTGCTTCTGCTCGTTTGATTTGGCTTTAATCTTGCTTTGCTTTCCACCAGAAGGTCGAGTTTTAAGCGCAGCGACTAGAAACCAAAGTTTTCCTTCCTTTCGTTACTGAAGTTACTGAAATCTGAGCTTCGCAAACAACTGCTGAACCCACACAGCGAACAGATGAAACTCCACATGACGCGTCTTTAAACCAACGCTTTGCAGCGAGTGCAACTGCTGAATAATTTAAAAACAATAAAACATCACAATTCTGCGTCTGCGGCTTGTCATTCGGCTAAAGTTCCAAATTGCATTTCTTGAGAATAATTTTTTTCTTTATAAAAATAAAACAAAGCTGCAGCGAGTGAAACTGCTGAGTCATTTTTTAAAATAAAAAAACATCTAAATATTTTCTTGTTTATTTCCTCTTCTGTGACAGCAAACTGAATTTATTTGACATTTTCTAAATAATTTTCTGCCATTTTAGAGACCAAACAATTAATCCAGAAAATAATATAAAATATTAAAAATATTATATCCGGTGAAGTCCAGGTGGGCGTTCATGAACTCCGCTGTTCGTGGTTCATCATTTCAGGAGGCGTTTCGTGGAATAAATGAACAGTGTAATGGTGAATATTATGGGATGTAAGTCGACTGAAAACATTCAGCTGCTTCTGCGTCGACACCAACGTGTTACAGTTTTGAGGATTTCATTCACAGGATTTGTAATATTTTTTACATAAATCTGATTATTCGTGCTGCTACAAACTAAACACGGCTTCTCTCTTGTTTTTGTTTTTTTGGGGAATTTGAGTTTCGCCGTCTACTGTTCGTTTCCTTCGTCGTCTCTGGTTCCATTTGTTTCGTGCTTTCATGGTTTCTTTGTTTCGTCCTGGGTTCTGCTCCGGACGGCCTCGAAGCCTCCGGGTCCACTCGCCGTGAAAGAAGGTACCTTTAATACTGATTACAAGTCCCTGAACTTTCTGTTTGTTTTCTGATTCCATTAAACAATAAAGGATAAAGCCGGTTTATGCAGTCGTCTTGTCGTGCTTTCAGGTGGAATATAAATGCACAATACGTTTAAATGACCTTCAGCATCTGTATTCGTTTTCTCTGCAGATGTTTCCAAGAACAGAATCGGGTTCAAGACTAAAAACACAAATTCACTGGGAAACCTGATTCAGAGAGTAACCTGCATCACACATGGAAGAAGAAACGGATAATAATTTACAGTCCATTTCACTTTAAACAACTGAATTGATTTTATCGGCTCAGAAAACGAAAATGACGCCCTCACATCTGTCACGGTTTAAGATGGAAATCAGTCGTATGAACGTCTTTTATCTGCTGAGAATCTTTCCTGGATTTCATTTGCTCACATTCCAGGAAAGTGCTGCCGGAGGCTCGGTGTTTAGCACCGTCGCCTCGCAGCTAGAAGGTTGCCGGTTCACAATCACATCTGGAGTCCCTCAAGGTTCCATCTGAGGGCCCATTTTGTTTATTTTGCTTTGTGTTTTTCTTGTTTTCTGTTA